TCTGATCCATCACTGCGGAACCGCACACAAATCAATTCAAAGAGCCCTGGGGGACTGTCACAATCCCAGAATCCAGAGGCTGAACAAGCTCAGAGCCTTTGCATAGCTCAGTCTAACAGCACAATCCAAAGCTGTCTGCTCCACAGGTCTCATCTGGGGCCACTGAGTGACAGAGCTCCCTGGAGTTCACTGTCCCTCAAACTGGGAACTCGAGGCATGAAGCAGAGAGCATTCAGGAAGTGAGACAGCTGGGAAGCATCCTGTCCCTGCCCTGCCAGACAAGGGCTGGTGCTCAGCACTGCTCAGAGGCAGCAGCAGGGACCCTCTTGGTGCTTGATACAGCAGCAGAGCCATGGCTCATCTTTGCACCAACAGCAAGAGGTGGAAAGTCATTATTCATGTATTACAGTGGCCTCTATGCTTCAGCTCCAGGTGACTGCCAAGGTCAGAAGGCGACTTAGCACAGGTCAGTTCATTGAGGAACCACAGGGTTACCCCACTTGGCTCTCTCAGCATGGCCAAAGCACAAGGGAAATGAGTGCTCTGCTGTTTCCCACCTTTCTTTTTCAGGTGGAAAGACCCACAAAGCTCAAACCTCAGCAATCCTGAGCGAGCAGCAAGGTGCTGAGCCCACTGTGCAGTAGATGCAACCTCCCACTCGTGCACAGCAGGGCTGTAGCAGAACTTCCTTGCCTTCCCACTCACCCTCACAGCTTTGCAGGTGCATTTACACTGCTACTGCTATTGGATGTAAGCTAAGTCCAAAGTAACCAGCTTAGCAATAAGGAACTGCAGCATGCAAAGGTCTCAAGGCCAAGCTGACCCAGATAAACACTCGTGACTTGGTGGTCTCTGAGCTCTGTGCCACTGGATTTACACTGCTAACAGTGCCCGGGCTGAGCACTAGCTGGGGTCTCCCCACAGAACCTGCAGCAACAGCAGCATACACAGACAGCAAAGGCATTTTTTGTTACCTATCCATATTTTCCAGCTATTTACACAGAGCATCACAGCACCCAGGGCTCAAGCAACCAGGTACCTTCAAGCCTTCATAAGGGACTCACAAACAGCCTTTTCTTTTCTTCTCAAGGCCAAGAGACCTCCTGACACGCTTCAAGTTTCTCTGACAGAAACGGCTACGTTTGAAGACAAGGGATTTCTCCCTCCTCACAGAGATTATTCTCTTTGAAAGAGGGGAAAAGCAGTTATGCAGGGAAAGCACAAAACAATGTTTTTCAAGTAGAAAGGAAAAAAGCCTGGCAGTAGAAAAATTAAGGGTCAGAGGGCAGCCTCTTTTGTGGAAATAGCTGTTCTCTGCCCACAGCCTGATACTGAACGAAGTCACAGAACCCCGTGGCTGAGTTCAGAGAACCTCTGAAGCTGAGCCAGCCTTTCAGCACAGGCTTTTTTTGTGTAAAAGGAACACAGAGCTCAGCCCTGAGCACGATCAAACACAAGGTCATTTATTAGTCAGTCCCCTCAGGACTCGTGTTCAGATGGGCCACACAGAGCATCCACCAGACTCAGAAACACAAGCAGCAAAGTAAAAAGCACAAGGCAGCATGAGCTTGGACAGGCTGCCTGACTTTAGATGCTCAAGACCAGCTCTCAGAAAGCTCAGCAGAGAATAATAGCTGTAGTAGTTTGTCTCCTTTGTGTTTGGAACACTGGTCCAAGCAGTCACTGAATAAAAACCTACCTGACCCATCACATCTTCATCGTAGGACAGCGTTAAGCCCAGGTCACTGATATCACCATCGTAACGCTGGAGGAACAACAAAGGGAAAGAAGGTCAGTGTTTAGCAGCAGCAACTCTGCATCTTTGTATTACTCTTCCTCTGGTGATCCCCAGCAGGCACAAGGCACCAAAGCATAGCAAACACAGGAGTTGCTCGAGGTTATGAGGAGATTGCACAAGAACTGAGGCTAAAACTTGGGATTTCCTGACTGCCAGTTCCAGGTTTACACCTTCAGACTCCTTTCTCATCCCTGTTTCCCCTGGGAAAAACACAGGAGAACCACCTGCCAACCTGCTTCAGAATCACCAGTTACTTCCAGGGTGTTTTTAAAGATGATCAGTACCCCAAAGTCATTTGCAAATGTAGTATTTCTAGCAGCAGCCAGGGATAAGGGAGTTGAACAACAGGAGAAGTAATGCTCCAACCTTAATTGAAGTGAGATTCTTATAGAACTCGGAGTCCAGGGAGGGAAGTTCATCCACGGAGCTGTAGAAGACACTGTGGTGGTGCCCAAGTAGCTGACTCAAGAAGAAGGAAGCAAATGGTACATCCACAACTATTCCCTACAGACAGGAAGAATGCACAGGTAAGGTCCCGCCTGTTCTGTGCAGCATCTTTGGAGGCCTGCAGGCAGATCACGCATTGTGGGACAAGTGCAAAGATGCAAGACACTGAAATCAGCCAAGAAAACCACATCCTCCTAAAATCCATTCATTAGTGGATTTTAGTGGACAGGGGAACTCCATGTTTCCTTTAAAAGAACTACCTTACATGGAGAGGGTAATGGATTTTTAATCCATGCCCGAGTTAAGTGCCAGATTGCTCCACCATCAGTGTCTTTATCCAGGTCATTTTACAAACTCACCTCTTCAGTAACACACCTCCCCAAACATCAGACGGATGCTTTCAAAGGCAAAGGGCACCGTCACAGAAGTGCACCTGAACAGCGCTGTACCAACAGTGACAACAGCCTGATATGGCACCTTCAGCTCACCTCATACACAGCCTTCCCAAGCATCTTCCCCACAAACTCAAAGAGCTGTAGGTAGTTCTCGTGGATGTAGGATGTTGGGGATGGATACAGCCTCTCATCACCACTGGTTGTCTGCACACAAACAGAGGTAACACACAGTGAGCCAGCCTGTTTCTGCCTGCAGTGGGTCATTGTGGTCAGCATCTGCAGCCCTGCATCGTACCTTGAACAGATTGAGTGCAGGGTCAAACACTTTTTTAATTATCTCTTCCAGAAACTCTTTGAAGACCCCATCTTGGTCAATCCCAGCCTCATCGACTCCCAGGTCATTCACAAACTTCACTCTGATCACCCCCTTCATGGCGTTCTGGGAAAGCTGCCGTAGCTGTTCGTATCCATCCTACATGGACCAGAGGAGCCAGAGGACAATCACACAGGGAGACATGTGAAACACCCTCACAGTCATGCAGCAGAGACACATAAACCACAGCAATCTGCATTTCCCATTGTATTTTGTGTTCAAACAGCACAGCTTTCTTCCTAGTCAGAACTCCAGGTTTGCAGCAGGCTGATCTGAACCAAGGTCCATCATCCTGTACCATCACTTCACCCAAAAGCAGACAGAACTGGCACTGGGTCCCTCAACACCCACAGAGAAGGTAACAACATATTCACACCCCATATTCTTGCCAGGCCAAGTTACTGGCTCACTGGGTGGCTTTGCAAGCCAGGTCACCCACCTCCAGCATTCGTGAGCGGCGGATAGTGATGTGTGTGACGTGAGGCGACGCGGAGCTGGTTTCAACCAGCCCAAGCTTCTCCTTCTCCTTTGTCACCATGTTCCGGAAAAGCAGCACCCTCTTAAGAAGAAAACAAATGTAAGTCTTCATCCAGGACCCTTACCCTGCAGTGCAGCAGCTCCTCAACTAGCTCTTGGTTGTCCTGTTCCCAGCAAGGCCCAACGATGCCACCTACTCCCCTGAACAGTGGGATCTGCCTCCTTGTTCCCCAGTGGGGCCAAGAAATCCTTGAAGCTCTGCTTTGGGAGGGACAGGGTACTGACAGCACTGAGAACAAAAGCACCTTTCCTATCACCACATAAAAATCTCTCATCTAAGGCACTTGCCACATCATGCACAGCTGGAGGAGTCTATGCAGGTGCCCCCACACAAATAAGCTCTCTCTCAATGAGAAATTAAGACAGATTAGAGGAGAAGACTTTCGTTCAATTGGCATTTAAATCACAAGCTCCATGTCATGAAATGCTCAAGACACACATCCCTTCTACCCCAGGCCACCCAGGTCACTGGCTTCTCAGCCCTCCATCCTCTCCCCCTGCCCCACTCACGTTCTTGTGGGGAATGACATGTGGGATGTACTGCAGGAGCAGCTGGGCTCGTTTCTTGTCCTTGTCCAGCTCCTGGAAGAGCACACTGGGTTTGAGGTCCCTTTACAAAGAAAGGCACAGATTCAGAGATCCCTGAGAAATGCTCAGGTGTGGTATAAACAGCTGGGGGTGGGAGAGAGAGGAAACCTCTAGTGATTTCAGACACAACGTAAGTGTTCAGGTGTACACATCTAAAAGGCCAGAGACACTCAAGCTGTTAGGTGCTGAGTCAGTTTTCAACGCACCACTTTCCACGAGCAGCAGCTAATCCTTACACCACAGAAGGGAAGCCCAATAGGACGGGTGTCCTGACATGCAAACGCAGGGAGCAGTTCTGACCCTGATCTCATGGGCAGAACAAGAGGCACTCAATTTAAAGGACGTGATCCCAAACCAGCCACCTCAGGGGAGCCGGTGCAGTGGGACAAGCCCACAGCTGCACAGGATCCATGCCTGGAGCTGGACACTTACTTGCGTAACCAGTGATCCTCGGGAGCAAATCGCCTGCGACAGTCCCTTTCATACAGGACCATGAGCCAGCCATGGACAGAGTGAAACAGCTCCAGGGTCTCCCCTCTGGCATTCTCTGAACAAAAGGAACAAAGCAGCAATGGCCAGGCAGCCTAGGTAACAGGAGTGTCCACGAGCAACACGTTCATCGTCTGCCCCACACTAACAGCACCAGTGTAGCCCTCCTAACCTCCACCGCCTTCAGAGGTTAGGAGGAGATTTTGTGCCTCCCTGAAGACAGACAGGCTCTTCTTTGATCTTAGCCACATCAAAGGCACCTCAGCCAGCTCCAACTGAGCCATCACAACAGAAATGGACTCTCTCATTTAATTACCAGATTTCAGCTGTACCCAGATTATAACAGCAGATAGGTCAACACAAGTATCTACAGAGACCTGAGCAAGCCCACTCTGCTTTGGCAAAGCACTGTATTATTCTTGCCCAACACATGGCCCAGCCATGCTAAACTTAGCCTCTGGCACAAAACAACATACCCATCGTGTCTGGTACACAAATTCTTATTGGAAATGGAAAAGTGCACTGTGTTTGGTGCCAAGCAGGACAGTGGCATCTGGAGATCAAAAGCCTGGGCATGTTCTCATGTCACACAATGCAGTATGGCTTTTGTGCAAAGTAATAATTAGCAGAAGCTTCAAATTCCAAAGTTAACGTCACTTCTTGTTCTAACATCAAGTAACATCAACTTGAGCTACTAAAAGAACTTACCTACAATTCCATCCCAGATCATCTTAAATACAAAGGAATTCAGGAAAGACGAGATGGTAACAAGCTCTTCCAGTTTGAAGGAAATCTGCTCTTCATAGACCTCTATGTCATCCAGAATCCTGCCGGAGAAAACACATGCAAATGCACAAGTGTAAATTGAATTCCCTTTTGAAATTTTCATAAAGGCCCATTATCCTTCAGCATCAGCTCTTATTTCTATGACAACTGACACCCATGAGGACCTAAAGTCATAAACAACTAACCTGTATTTGCTGATTCTGATCGATACCTGATCCCAACAGAAGACAGCATGAAAGGTCAGAGATAGAAGCAAAGCAACTATTCCTTAGTTAAAAGGACCTATGCACTCATCCCCAGGAAAACATTTGCATTATTCAAGCTAAGAAAACTGTCTCTACTGAGCAGCAATGGCAACTTTCCACCCCTTCTCCCATCCTTTGTGTTGGGTAAGTCTATGAGTGAGACAGGAAAGGAGTTGTAAAGAGAAGCTCATAAGCTGGGGAGCTTTCCTGCAGCAGTATTATAACATTTTCCCCTCAAAGCTTATCTGGACTCATCAAAGTGCCTGGTTATCTTTATGGGAAGGCAGCAACACCTTAACTATTCCCCTTGGAACTCTAGGAACAAAACAGCTTCATGTTACAGACCTAGAGAGCACCCTCAGCTTGCTACCTACGTGATGAGGTGGCGGGAGCAGTCACAGAAGAGCATCAACATGGCCAGCAGCCTCTTGGATTCTTCCGTATCGTTATTCAAGCACTCCAAGAAGAGTTTCAACCCACCCTGAGGGCCCAGCTCACAAATAAAGGCCCATAATTTGGGCAACAGATCATCCAGGTAGGTGAGACCTAGAAAAACATAAAGCACAGTTCAGTAAAGCTTGTTCATGCAGGCCTGGAGAGACCAACGTGAGTTGGAGCTTGAAGATCCTTTTGCAAAGCAACACTTTGGGAACATAAGCATCACGCTTGGCTCCCAAGCCTGTCTGCATTAACAGGAGATGCTCAATCCCCAGGGAAGCAGAAAAAAAGCTTTTAACCAGCAATTAGTTTGCACATTTGAAACCCTTTTTGCTGTTCTGCAAGTTCAGAAGAGAATTAATTCCTGTGATCCAGTTACTATTAGAGCCATCTTAGAGATGAGAACACAAAGAACAACACTGTACCCGTGGTCACCACTATAGCCACAGACAAAGCAACCAAGGCTCTGTGCTCATCCCTCTGCTCTAGCCACTAGACCAAAGCAGTGCTTATCTCCCCCTCCATCCATTCCTAAGACAGGTAATTTGTCCTCAAGATGTATGAAAGCATTCAGTGTTTCCACCACAAAGATGGATATTGCCAGGCTTCTCGAAAACACTGCCTCGGTCTTAAGTTTGAGATGGAGTAAGCAAGGTTTCATTACAGGAAAACTTGCTTCAATTTGTATTCTGGAGAGTTAATGCTTGATAAAGAAGTGATGAATGTTATTGATCAGATGTATGATCCAGGGTGGAACAAGCCTTCCACCCAGCAGTCAATAAAGTGTTGTCAGTAATAAAACTACCAACAAGTCAACAGAATTTAATAAGAAACCCCTATTTTTTTCATATTTGAAGTGATTTGAAAAGCACTGATGGGCCCTGACCTGTGAGGATCTGCAGGCGGATCTGTGTCAGCGTTGTGAGAGTGGTCTGGTACAGCACACAGATGCTGCACACCTTCTGCACCTCAGCAGAGTCCACCCGCTTGCCTCCAACAGGCTTGAGAATGTTGCGGACAGATGCTGACTTCTGGAAAGCTCTTTTGAACAGATCTGAGGAGAGAATCACAGGAGAAGTGCTCTTCAAAACCACTTATACTCAGCCACTTGACAGCCCTGCAATCAAATGGATTTTGGCAGGCTGGGTCACTCCGGAGACAGTAGGTTTTGGTGGTCTTTTCTGGCAGACCACTGTAGAGCAACACGAGGCAGCTTCACCTTGCTTTTCACCTGGGAAGCTGGCCTCCCACCTTGCCCTGGGAAGTACTGAGTTATGCAGAAAGCACTTCAGCTACTTGAGAAAGAATAAAAAACCCTGCTAAAATAAGCACCAAAGAGAGATTCGCCCCAGGTCACACAGGCATTCCGAGCAGGAATTACAAGTAGGAGAGATCAGATCTCCACCTAAGCAGCAGCAGCTGCTGCAAGTAATTACTCAAAGCTTTTAGCATAAGTGGAGAAGTCAAAGCCTCCGAGTCTGGGAGAGAGAAAGGCACATGTAGACACACACACACAGAGAGGTAACCCTCCAGAACTCACTCTTCATAGGAAGGCTGTTCTGAGGGGAAATGGGCTGTGTTGGCAGCTGAGCTATTTCCTGATTCTCCAGCAGTTTCTTGCTGAGCACATCACAGAAGAGGATGCGGATCATATGGACTCCCCAGAGATGCTGCAGTTGCTTTGTCAGCAGAGGCATGGACTCATTCAATCTGAAAGACAAGTCAGAGAGCCATGTTAGAAGGCAGGCTGGAATAAAACACCAGCCAGTGATACTGTGATACATTCAGCTCGCAGCCAAAATGGAGCATGTACCCTCCCTACAGCTGGTCCTCATAAGGAGACCTGATATACAGGTCCCATATCGTGTGTACACTAAATGATTTTCCTCATCTAATACTCTGTGTATGAATGCAGCAGTTTATATTCTGCAGATTTCATATATATAACTTGAAATATCTGAGAAATGATTCTGAATAATAAGGGTCACACTGTTCACCTCAAAACATAAACCACATTGCAGCATAAAAAGAAGACAGACACAAAGAGAGGCTTAATCATGGATCACCACGAGGTCCTCCTCACTCACCCATAATCCACAGTCTGTGAAAACCAGCCCAGAACAGGATGCCAGTGGGTGAGGTTGGATTTCTTTTGTGAAACATACTTCTGGCAGTAGGAGAGCATGTGAATGAGCACACCCACAAAGTGAGCTGTCTCCTCCTCAAGGACTTTATCATTCAAGGAGCCCAGGAACACAAGATTCCCTGGAGGAATGACCAGCACAGCAAGATTTAAAAGAGGAACAGATGCTGCAGGACAGTGCTCACAGACATAACAGACAAAATGAACTCAAAGCCTTTTCCAAGCCCAGAAGAGGACTTCTGTGAAGAATGGCTACTAAAGGCTACCCCGCAGCAAGCCATTTCCAGCACACATCAACCTCTAAGGTGGTAGGTTACTTTGTCCACCTGCATCCCACCAGCACCTTCTACAAAGTACTATAAAGCTACAGACAATCTATGGTTATTCCAGAGTTCCAGCTGTTCCTCTAGTTACTTTTACAGCAACGTGAACTTAAAATACTTCAGTAGCATGTCTATTAGGGAAGTGACATTCCAGTCTGCTGCGCTACGAGACTTTCTCATGGTCCAAGTGGAAAGCTAGCAGAGGTAATACACAGTTTAGGCATGATGACATGTATACAAGAGCAAGTCTCTGGCTCTTCTTCCATTAGTAAGGGCCTTAAACCATGTTTGCAGTATCCCAGAAATATACCTCAGTTACTATTAAGAAACTATCTGAATAAGGATAAAAAACCCCAGATGATTTGGAGGCAGCTCTGATCCATGGAGAAAGATGATCTGACTCAACACTTTATTCCAAGCACAGCAAAAAGAAGTGTTAGGGTGCTTACCTAACAAACACAGAGTGTGACTCCCCTCTAAGCACACGCAGACATCTCGGCATTGTGCTTCCCGACTTAAAAACAGGATGAACTTGCGGAAAAGCTCATGGGATTCTATCACCACCAGGCGCTGGAAGACAGAATTCAACTGCCAGTGAGGCTGAGAAGCACCACAAAGAACCACACCTCATCTGCCAGCAGCAAGTTGGATTGTCCCTTCTTTCCAAAGAAAGCAGCAAGTTGAGACTGTAGCACTGAAGGGAGTGCTGGTCTAGGCATGAAGCTGGTCTAGGAAATAAAACACTTTGCAGGTGAACAGGCCATATTCTAGTTGTAGACAGATGCTTGCAGCTGTCTACACAATGCCCATGTGGCACAAAATGTGCCTTATTTTAGCCACTTATTTGTTCTAGGGCAGTTCAGTCCATCACCCACTGGCACCAATAACTCTGGGTTTCTAACACCACGGAAGTTATCTGGATCAAGTGCTCCCACAACAGAGAGCTGAAACTGGCAAACAGAAATGCCAGTGCTGTGTTCCAAGAGCTGATAAAATGGAACAACAAACGACCTTCCGTGATATTCAGTGGAGTCTGGTGCTACCACATCACCCACTTACCTCAGGTGTTAGAGTAGCAAGATGAGTCATTATAGCAGGCACAGACATGATATGGATCAGAAACGACCTCAGCAGATTGTCTGAAAACTGTGCAGCGACCACAGGGCTACAGAGAGAAAAATACTTCAGTGCAAGTAACCTGACCAAGCCATGAGAAGTCTTCCAAAAGCACAATAAAGACAACTTTGGCTGTATATCATCCCAAGCAGCTCTGGCTGCCTTACCGCAGTGCGAGAGAGAAGATGGCAGTTAAAGAGCCTTTGGACAGGGAAGGTCTGGATCTTGCCAAGCCATTAGTCAGCAAAATCTGGAAATTAAAATAGTAAAAATAATTAAAAACCCCATAAACTCCCTCAGAAAAAAGCTTATGATTACTTCTGAAAGACATTTTCAGAGCAGAGAAAAAGAATACCACCAAAACAACCGAAAACCCAGTTAATACAAGTCAGAACTACAAGAGCTTCAGGTTATTAAGAGCAGAACAGAGAAAGTGCAATGGAATCAGACACTCTGCAGTACTTATTTCTCTAAGACCTGTAGTCAGAGGGTCCCCAGGCCTTTACAAATGAACAGGCAGGGCTCACAGCTGCGTGCTAAGATAATTCTCATTGAAAAGATGAAGAAAAATGCCACCAGCTCCTTTCCCCAGCAGAACAGTAAATAACCCAAATCCATACAATATGGCAGCAGCAAAGTTTGGGAAAATATTCAAGACCCCTTCCTGTCTGTCTCATTAGAGATGATTAAGTAGGGCTTGATTCAGCAGCAGTGGCAAAAAGGACACAGTGTATTTGTTTCAAGTGGAGAGACTCTGCTCAACTGCTTTGAAGAAAGCTACGTCCACACACAAATTACCAGTGTTCCAAACCAGGACTCACCACCACAGAGATCACCTTCCTCAGAACAAGGACCACAGCACAGGGCTGGGGCTTGTTTTGCATGAAGAGAAGACAGAACTGTATCAGCCCAAGACTGACCTGCAGCACAGAGTAAAATCCCTTCTGGTTCAGATGTCCCATGATGTTTGCACAGATGTGGTTCATGGCAGGCCTCAGGGTTTCACCTTATGGGTTAAAGCAGTGATGTTACTAAACCAGCATCACAGCCCCACTCTTTACTTCTTTACACATTCTAAATCAGTTTGTTATTCCATAAGCCCTTCCTGCACAAAGTCCCTTATATGCAAACCCACCATTTCAGCAGCATTTCACATCAAGTCTTGATTAAGGTGCAAGAGTCTCATTTCCTCACTGTAACTGTCTACCTTTTCTATGGGTATTTCCTACAAAACCCCAGTGCTAAAAGCACATTCCAGCATCTCTGAACACTTCTTGTGTGTGGGATTTTGAAGCATTATAAAAATGTTGTTTAACTGTTGCTGTTCTAAGGGGAACAGCCTGTCTAGTCTCAAGGGAATCCTTGCTGCCCCTTCTGGGCTTTGTGTAAGAAGCACAATGAATCTCTGCAGCAAGCACAGCGAGAAAGCAAGGTGCAGAAACAGCTTTTGGTAGATTTTAGCAGCAGGTCCCAAATCAGTGGCTTAAAGCATTGAATTGGATGCACCAACCTTTGCCCCGAAGGATTTTCCACGTGGAAGTGTCTGTGAAGGTGACAAGCATTGTGAGGTGCAAATTGACCAGTCTGGAGTCTTGTAGGATGTCAGGCTGTGATAACAAACACCAGTGTTAATAAATCAAATGAGCTTTGTGCCAAGCTGTGAAATGCAGCGTGCAAAACACAGAGAAAATATTCCTTACCTTAAGCTGCTTGAGAAATTCACAGCAAAACCACAAGATGTCTTTGATCTGTTTGATCCATAGGAGTGTAAGATCCTTGGAGAGTGCCAGGGACACATACCACACCTGAGGAGGGCAGGATACAAATGGGAGCAACACTGGTATTTGTGCTAGAGATTGGCAGAAGACATTACTTGGAAGCTTTGTAACAAATCTGCTGACCCCAGCAGCAGCACCAAGTTATTTCTCTCCCCAGTATTCACTGGTCAAAGCACACCATCCACCACAGGAAGAAACTGCCCTTTAACTCCTGTAGCAGTACAGAGTGGAAGTGCCAGAGGAACACTACAGGTCTTGTCCCAGCTTTCACCAGGGAATGTCAGCAGTGCTCAGGGGCTTTCAAAAGCTAAAAACTCAGGCATCACCAACCTAAATCCCCACACATAGAATTAAGAAAGCCCAACCAACCCTCCCACCCCCAACCAACCATCCAACCCACCCCATCCTGCTGACCTTGGGCTCATTCTCAGCATCCATACTGTTCAGAATACAACGGCACAGCTTTTCAAATCTCTGGGGGAAAAGAACAAGTGGCATTAGCTCTAACTACAGGATGGGCTATTCTGGAACAGCACAAGGAACAGCTCAGCAGAGGGAGTAAGATACCTCTGTATCAAAACCACATAAGTTCCAAACACATTCCCCAGGAGCACATCGACACACCACACTTACAGCTACGCAGAAGAGGGCCCTCCTTGCACACAGTGCTCATCAACAGGAGGAACTTCTCAGCCATCCCTCTAACACTGCCTCCCTCAACAGCATGGGCTGAAGCCAGGAAAAGCATCTTCCTGTCAGGGTTTAGCTACAACAGCTTCATGCTAACGAGTGCAGCAGCATGTTCCAAACTCCTGACCATCACAGCTCTGAACAGAACTCAGTGATCACACCCACAACTCCTTAATGGTTATTTCAGTCCAGCTGTATTTGCCCCATGCTTGCAAGTTATGAAGAGCTACAGAATTGGCTGCTGTGGTGATCCTAATAAAGAGCAGCATCCAGAAATAGAGTGGAAACAAGCACAGTCTAGGCCTCAACCCAGCAAGGGACTGGGTTGAGGGAAGGGGAAGGAGAAGAGGAAGTAGAGCAGGGATTTTTCAGCAGCACACCCAATTTCTGTATTGCAGAACTCCAGATGGGTGCCAGGCACTTAAAAGAGTTGTATGTAACACACACATCTCTTTTTGATGCTGTACATAGAGAAAAGTGCATTTGCAGCACTTGCCCCATCAACAGGAGTTTGAGGGAACAGAGATTAAAGAAGTCATCCACTGCTGCTGCAATTTAACTACAGCCTTTCCTTTTCCAACCGTTTTCCTTAAAATTCCCCTCATTATTATTTCATAGACTCCATGGCAAAGGGCTTCACTCTGAAACCACAATTCAGGGCATGGTCAGGAAAGCAGCTGCAACACAAACAGCCAACACACTGCACTGTGCCAGGAGAGCTCTTTGTGACTGGCCACAATGCACCTGCCTGGGGAGCTGACAAAATCAGGAAGCTGCTCAGTTATTGAGGTTGGCACCTCAGGAGCCTCACCAGGAAGAGCATCTGTTAAACTACACCCTGAACAGGGAACTGCTACTGAAAAATTCAAGGGTTCTTGTGTTTCATTCCTACAGGCAGATCTCTCCCAGAAGGACCAGGAGACAGAGATCACATTTCTGAAGCCAAAACACAACACAGGAACCTAAATGATCGCTAGAAAACTAACTAAACATAGTTAATGTGTTTAAGTATGGCCTCCATGGAAGAAAAGCACGTCAGAGGAGCAGCCTTACCTCTTTGTCCTCTTTGTGATTAAATACAAACAGCAGCTTCCTAGCAATTCTGAAGACAGAAAGAGCACTTCTTTTACTTGAGCCAGATTCATTTGCCCCAAAGAAATCCTCCACTTCTCTCCTACCGAAGAGAGGAATAACGAGCGTCAGTAGGTACAACCAAGCACAGCTCTCCAGGCAGGAGCTAAGGGAGGAAGGGAGAATTCCACACACCTTATCTCCCTCTGCAGGCGGCACCGACAGAGGAATCTCCTGACCAGAGCCTGCACCAGCACTGCAGCACGTTCCCTCTCCTTCAGCTCCCGCCGCTCCTCCCGGGCCTGGCGCGCTTTGTCAAGGAACTGGGCTTTGGAGGACTGGCTCGCACTGAACATGTTCATCACCTGACATTAAGGGAACAAGGGATCATTGCAGAAAACACCTGGGAACCCGCCGCAGAGCAGACAAAGCAAGCAGGGGCAATCCTTTGCTCCTCCTGAACTACCTGCAGCTGACACTGAAGTAGGGGAAGGGGGGAACCCAACGACACAGAACACAGCCCAGGAAAGCCACGGTTACTTGGCAATGGGACTGCAACAACGCACAGACGACGAGCTCAGAATCACTCCAGCAAAGCCACAACCTATTGCAGACAAGCAGATTTTAAGGGAAAAAGGATAAACGAATGGGGTGTCATTGTGTTCCGCTCCCTGCGCTGCAGCTCCCCTTTGCTGATGCTCGGGAGCTCCTTTATTGCCACTCAACAAGGTAAAATGCACAGAAACAACAAGGGCTTTATAAATCCTCAACAACAAACTCACCTGAGGGCTTACTCCTTCAGAAGAGGTGTCTGATAGTCATTTACACACGAACATGGTGCTCACCCGCTGGCCTCAGGCAGCTCCTGCCCAGAGAAGCGCATTACCTGCGGATGATTTGGGGGTTTAGCCTTTACCTTTGCAGGTCCAAGTCCTTCTGACCCCTAAATAC